ATGAATAAATCTTATAAAATTCCTTTCAATCAAAGAAGCCCTTAATACCTTCGTCTCGGTCCAAAATATGCGATGACTTAATAAACCGGCAGTAGTTTGTTTATGTACTATCTTTTCTTTATAATATAGGTAGACAAAAATGTCAATGTAAATGGGCTACTCTAATGGGAGTGCCTGGCGCATGGATGGTTCGTTAGTCCGGCAGCCCAGCCATGGCGTTGTTTAGATCTAACTAATCTGGGATGGAGCCTACACGACACCAATGGATCCGTATCCCATTCACGTGGCTGCCTGTCTTGTATTTCTCCATCTCAAATGGTCAACTTTAGACACCTAGACACGGGGAAAATATTCCATAAACCCCTTTTCGGTCACTGTCTGGCCTTCATACACAAGAAATCTCATCTGCACTAAGTTGATGAGAACACGCATAAATGATTACTGTGCCAAAACTCGTTTGGTCAAAGGCATGCACCCTCAAAATACCTACTCGTGAAGAGTGAAATTCCTTGGTAGTCAAAGGCATGCAACCCTCAAAATACTCGAAATTCCTTGATTATCTGGAAGAGATATACTACAAGAATTGATCCAGTCAGGTTGGGCATAAAAGTGGGCAGATACAAAGGAAAAAAGGAAAGAGCAACTTTGTCCTCTCCTGCGAGCTCCTAAGAACCAGTACTCTGCCTACTCTACTTTCCAAGGACAGATCACATCCAATTATAAAATAAAATACTTTTCTTTGTCCTAGTCAAATCCACTGTGCGAGCGATATGGCGTGGTCACTTCTTCATACATCGTCGGTCATCCATCAATCCATCCATGAACCGCGACGAGAGAGCTCTGAATTTGTGGACAATGCTCCCAGTTGGACCTCTTTTCCAGTTTTGCCATGCTCTGCGCACGGCATAGCTCCTTCCTTTTTTACCAGCTGAGAAACTTTATGCTTTCGTGAGAAGGCCTAAAATGTTTTGACCAGTTATTAGTTCCCTCCCTCTGTGCCTGGCTCTGGTGGATGGATAGATAGATACATCCCAACATCTGCAAATTGCGACACTGAATTTAAAAGCTTGGAGACGAATAGGAACATGCGGGTAGAGCCAAGACCGGTGCAGGAGCAGCCTAGTTTAGTGCAACGTAGCTTGTGGGTTCCCCGCAAAAAAAAAACAAAAAAACGTAGCTTGTGGGTTTGGTCACTGGATTAGACGATGGCGCATGCGCTATCGTCACGCATGGGTTTCTTTCTAGAATTCTTTACAGAGTCCGTCCGTCCGTCCGATGACTGCTCGCCATGTTTACCAAAGCACATGCCGTGGTTTACGGGGACTTTTGAGTCGAGGGTTTGATGTCAACTCTTACATATTGCGCGGAGGTTGAAAGCCGGCCTTGCCAAGATTTATGGCCTCCATCTCCATGCTCTGCTCCTGAAGCAAGCAGAGCAGAGCTATCCTCTGTCAAGATTCTTCCGGGCTAAAATATGATTGCGTCCAACAATTAGGTTATTTATTATGAAGGCACTTGTTCATCTAATGTAGTATTCCATTGCGAGCGTTGACTTGATTCGAAACTAAACTGTGAAAAAAATGCAGCAGCCTTGGCGTAGCGAAAAGTCATCAAGTCAGAGATGCTAGTATTTCGTGATTGCCGTGCAAGTAATGCAAATGAAATGACTTTTCTTTCGCTCTTGGTTTACGTGGGCTTAATATACTCCTACCGGACACGAATATTAAATCTTAAATCTCACCCAAAAAATGAAGGCCGAGGGGACTCCAACAGAAACCGAAGCTTCGCCCAGCACACGGTTGCAAACTGTTCGCCTGTAATTGGGAGGGAGAGGGACCCATGGGTCGCCGGCACACCATGGATGACCGAAGAAATGAAGAAGCGTCATCGATGATCGAGCCATCTGCAATCCATTTGGCGTGTCTGGAAGCTTCGCCATCTCCGCCAGAAAGAAAGAAAGCCGGCACCCCAAAGTACCAACCCGGCGAAAATGACAAGCTTGTTTAGCGAGTCGCCGTCACCGTCTCCCCACTTTCGGAGCCCGTTTCTATCCACCATTTCTTGACCAGCTATAAGCTACCGGCTGCGCTACTCCGAGTCTGTCTACGTATGACAGCTTTGTTTCTGCACTAATTAAACCACATTATTAAGTTATAAGCCGCCTATAAATAAACAAAATTAACAGCTCAAATAGTTGGCTTCATTCCCTTGTCTTCTGTCTTCTCCATCGTCTCCAATTGAAATCCTAATCAAATTTCTACTTGCCTTTGATGACTTGACTAACTAATACCGATTACTTGTCAGACTTTATTTCTAGACTTGAATCCCTTGCTTGTAAGATAGACTATTTGAGTCATGAGACATGAAGAGGAGCAGCCCCGAAACCCAAAGCCTACAGGTCTCTCCCTCGCTCGCTCATCCAAACGGTGCTTTTGTCCTCACCAACTCCCCTCTCCCAGATTTTAAGCGCCATTTCAAGCCCTCAGCAAGATCGCGTATCTTTTCTCTGCTTGCTTCCGCTTCGTCTCCGTCTCCCCCCTGAAATAAAAATTCCTCTGCAGCAGCAGCAGCAGCCCATCTTTAATGCAACACTCGCCATGGTTACTCCCACGCATCCACTTCAACCCAACCACTGCTCTGCTTCCTTCCTTCCTCCCCTGTTTCTGTTTGTTTCTTGAACCCAAACCCAGCTTGTGCCCCGTTCAAAATCGGACTTTGCCGAGCGTCGCCATGGGCGGGGATTCGAGGTTCTCCCACTGACGCGGCTGGTCCGGCCGGTCAGCGACAGCGCGCGCCATGGCCGAGGACCATGGATCGTCGCGGCACATGTCGTCCATGTCCATGTCGCACAAGGAGCTGGGCGACGACGACGCGCGGGTGGTGCATGTGGGCGACCCGGAGCGCACCAACGAGCGCCTCCAGTTCGCCGGGAACGCCGTGCGCACCGCCAAGTACTCGCCGCTCACCTTCCTGCCGCGGAACCTGTTCGAGCAGTTCCACCGCCTCGCCTACGTCTATTTCCTCGTCATCGCCGTGCTCAACCAGCTCCCCCAGCTCGCGGTCTTCGGCCGCGGGGCCTCCGTCATGCCGCTCGCCTTCGTCCTCGCGGTGACCGCCGTCAAGGACGCGTACGAGGACTGGCGACGCCACCGCTCCGACCGCGCCGAGAATAACCGCCTCGCCGCTGTCCTGTCCCCCGGCGCGGCCGCCCAATTCGTCCCCACCGAGTGGAAGCACGTCCGCGTCGGCGACGTCGTGCGGGTCGGTGCCAACGAGTCGCCCCCGGCGGACATGGTCCTCCTGGCCACCAGCGACACCACCGGCGTAGCCTACGTGCAGACGCTCAACCTTGACGGCGAGTCCAACCTAAAGACTCGCTACGCTAAGCAAGAGACGCTGACGACGCCGCTCGAGCATCTCGCCGGCGCCGTCGTCAGGTGCGAGCGCCCGAACCGTAACATTTACGGCTTCCAGGCCAACCTGGAGCTCCAGGGGGAGGGCCGCCGGATACCGCTGGGCCCGTCCAACATCGTGCTGCGCGGCTGCGACCTCAAGAACACGTCCTGGGCCGTGGGCGTGGTGGTCTACGCGGGGCGCGAGACCAAGGCGATGCTGAACAACGCGGGCACGCCGACCAAACGCAGCCGCCTGGAGACGCACATGAACCGCGAGACGCTCTTCCTCTCCGGCATCCTCATCGCGCTCTGCTCGGCCGTGGCCACGCTCTCGGGCGTGTGGCTGCGCACCCACCAGACCGACCTGGAGCTCGCGCAGTTCTTCCATAAGAAGGACTACCTCAAGGTCGGCAAGGAGGACAACGAGAACTACAACTACTACGGCATCGCGGCGCAGATCGTGTTCAACTTCCTCATGGCGGTCATCGTGTTCCAGATCATGATACCCATCTCGCTCTACATCTCCATGGAGCTGGTGAGGCTCGGTCAGGCCTACTTCATGATCCGGGACGCCAAGCTGTACGACGCGTCGTCCGACTCGAGGTTCCAGTGCAGGGCTCTCAACATCAACGAGGACCTGGGGCAGGTCAAGTGCGTCTTCTCCGATAAGACCGGCACGCTGACGCAGAACAAGATGGAGTTCCGGTGCGCGAGCATCGACGGCGTCGATTACAGCGACGTCGCACGGCAGCGACCTGTCGGTAGGGCTAGCTTCTCTCTCACTCTCAGTAAATTCTATCCAGTGGAGGAGTCTGGGCTGGGGTTTGATGGCCTTTGATTCATGGCAGAGGGCGAGCCGGCTTGGGCGCCAAAGGTGCCGGTGAAGGTCGACAGAGAGGTGATGGAGCTGGTGAGGAACGGGGGTGCTACAGAGCAAGGGATGAACGCCGGCGAGTTCTTTCTTGCCCTGGCAACGTGCAACACCATTGTTCCTTTGATCCTTGATGATGGCCCTGACCCAAAGAAGAAGGTGATTGACTACCAAGGCGAGTCGCCGGACGAGCAGGCGTTGGTTTCTGCCGCCGCGGCCTATGGCTTTGTGCTCGTGGAGCGAAGCTCCGGGCACATTGTCATTGACGTCCTTGGTCAGAAGCAGAGGTATACATCATCATTCATGATAGATTTGCATGGGAAATAAGGACAAATTGACCATGGGAATTTTGCTTTCATTTCATGATATACAGTTTGCCGTTAGTTTGTGTCTTCTAGTACGTACTAGTTGGGGAGGTTTCGTTGGTTTGTGGCCGTTGCTTGCATCTCTTTTTCTGGGCCTGCACGGCATGTGCTTCAGTCCATTTGTGGTAGTAGCAAGGCAACCGCAGAACTTCAGATATTGCTTCACCTAAACTAACATTGGTTGATGACTGCAATAGGTTTCCTTAGTTTTTGCGTACATTCAGAATGCCTGCAATAGGTTTCCTTAGTTTTTGCGTACATTCAGAATGCGCAACATATGCTTCGTTTTGCTTCAGTCCTTTGTGCATCTGGCCATTACTAATAACTTTCACAAAACATTTAATCGCCTTTACCGGACTTATTCTGCAGGTTTGACGTCCTTGGTCTTCATGAGTTTGACAGCGACCGCAAGAGGATGTCAGTTATAATTGGCTGCCCGGACAAGACTATCAAGCTGTTTGTAAAAGGTGCAGATAGTTCCATGTTTGGAATCATCGACAAAACACTGAATCCAGATGTTGTCCAGGCAACTGAGAAACATCTCCATTCATATTCGTCAGTCGGCCTGCGAACCCTCGTCATCGGCGTGCGGGAACTTAGCCAGTCAGAGTTTCAGGAGTGGCAAATGGCTTACGAGAAGGCTAGCACTGCATTATTAGGCAGAGGCAATCTCCTACGCAGTGTGGCCGCCAACATTGAAAGGAACATGCGCCTGCTGGGAGCCTCCGGTGTCGAAGACAAGCTGCAAGATGGAGTTCCTGAAGCAATTGAAAAACTAAGGGAAGCAGGGATTAAGGTTTGGGTTCTGACAGGTGACAAACAAGAAACTGCCATCTCCATTGGCTATTCCTGCAAGCTTTTGACAAGGGACATGACACAGATTGTGATCAACAGTAATTCAAGAGAGTCGTGCAGAAAAAGTTTGGATGATGCAATCTCCATGGTAAACAAACTCCGGTCACTGTCTACAGACTCCCAATCTAGAGTTCCCCTCGCTTTGATCATTGACGGTAACAGTCTCGTCTACATTTTTGACACAGAACGGGAGGAGAAGGTATGCAATCACACTAGCATCTCTATAAGTGCAGTGATTTTCCCGCAAAAGGAAAAACAGAGTCATTTTCTTATAAATAACCCATGAAATGTCAATTTTCCAGCTTTTTGAAGTCGCGATAGCATGCGATGTTGTTCTATGTTGTCGAGTGGCTCCTCTACAGAAGGCTGGGATTGTTGATTTAATAAAGAAGCGAACAAGTGACATGACTCTAGCTATTGGAGATGGTACATTTTTTGTTTCAAACTAGTTCAGCACTTTCATCTTTTTCTCTGAGTTATTTGTTTTTTGTTATTAATCTGAAGAAGTATCATTTTTCAGGTGCAAATGATGTATCCATGATCCAAATGGCCGATGTTGGCATTGGCATCAGTGGTCAAGAAGGAAGGCAAGCTGTGATGGCTTCAGATTTTGCCATGGGGCAATTTAGATTTTTGGTCCCACTGTTGTTAGTTCATGGCCACTGGAACTACCAGAGAATGAGCTACATGATCCTATACAACTTTTACAGAAATGCTACTTTTGTCTTTGTGCTTTTCTGGTAAGTGCATTCCTTTATTACCAGGTTTGTTCAATCTGCACTTAGAAATATACCTAAACCACGATAATCATTGCAGGTATGTACTTTACACTGGTTATACCCTGTCAACAGCAATAAATGAGTGGAGCAGTGTGTTATACTCTGTGGTCTATACCTCTGCGCCGACTGTCATTGTCGCCATTCTCGACAAGGATCTGAGTCGAAGGACATTGCTGAAATATCCCCAACTCTACGGTGCGGGGCAGCGCGAGGAGAGTTACAACCTAAGACTGTTCATTTTCATCATGGTGGACTCCGTTTGGCAGAGCCTCGCAGTTTTCTTCATCCCTTACGCCGCATACAAAAACAGCGCAATCGACAGCGCTAGCCTGGGAGACCTGTGGACACTGTCTGTTGTCATTCTTGTCAACATTCACCTTGCCATGGATGTCATCAGATGGACTTGGATCACTCATGCAGCAATATGGGGCAGTATTGTGGCGACATGGATTTGCGTCATCATCATAGACTCCATACCCACCTTGCCCGGTTTCTGGTACATACTCGTCCTTATTGATCCTTATTATTTGCTCGCCTATTGGAAAAAAAGGAAACCTACATGCTCTTCAAATTTGAAACAGTATCCCACATGATTTCTGATTCTCTAACTGAACCACAGGGCAATCTACGAGGTGATGGGAACTGCATTGTTCTGGGCGTTGCTTCTTGCGGTGATTGTGGTTGGAATGATCCCTCATTTTGCCGCAAAGGCCATCAGGGAACATTTCATGCCCAATGACATCCAGATTGCCAGAGAGATGGAGAAGTCACAAGATTCTCGTGATGTTAATCATCCAGAAGTCCAGATGAGTACATCCACTCGAGCTTAGGAGTAGGGGATCTTTGTTCATTCGCGTAGGCTAGAGTTACACCTTTCTCTTTCTGAAGAAATTACACCTTTTCCTTGGTTCTTTTTGTTGTGTGTATATAAAGCAATTCTTTCGGCAGTGAGCATGCTTCTTGTTGCTTGCTACCCTGTCAACTATCCAAAGGATAGATTTCTTGTAGCCATGCTGTGCATCCGCCTGCATTTTTTGTTGTTAATTTATATGAAAAGAATCGTACAGGAGTTAACTGTACATATTCAGGGACTGATTTATTTTATGAAGATTCTGAAACGGATGATACTGATTTCCGAGAGCTAACGTAGAAGCATTGCGTTTGTTGGGTGCACACATAGACATGGGGAACAACAATATGTTTTTATCTGTCTAGCAGATCCCTCATATCGCGATACTATAAAATCAATTTATGGTTCCTTGTACTGCTTCAAAAAAAAAATTATGGTTCCTTTTTTTTTTTTGCGAAAATTTATGGTTCCTTGTAAACTGTTTTTGTAGTATGAAACTGACTCGGCTCGAACAGATACTAAAAACTGTACTATAAGCAAAAGAAATATTATAATTTCCTCTCCTTTTTTTTGAGTTGTATAATTTCCTCTTCTCTTCCCCAACGTCCGCCACCGGCCAGACGTGGCCCAAAAGTAGCCGCCCCACGCTCGGCCACCGCCATCAGGCCAGCCCACCTCCTGCGCCAGATCCCGGCGGCCTCCCGCGCCCGCATCCATGGTCGGTCGCGTCTCCTGCGCCACTCGCGTTTCCGACAGCCGCCCATGCTGCGTGACGCCACTTGCGTCCAGGCCGCTTACTCAGGCGCCGCTCGGGTCGGACGCTGCCGAGGTCCTTCGCCTGCTCCCTGCTCGCGCGCTGCGCCGCCAGACCACCTACTCCGACGTTGGTTCGTTTACGGTTGACCTAAAAATCAACTCGAAAACTACAAGTACTAGATGATACCTCGCGTGTTGCTGCGGGAATTCTTAGGACATAGCCATGATGGTAGATAAATTGAACAACTTTTTGCATAGTGTATTTACATACTTAAGATAAAAATTTTACAATGGATACTTGATATAAATATAAATATTGCAAAATGTGAAATATGCTATCTTTTTTATTAAATACAGGACATAAGCAATCTCATGTGACTTACATGAATATTAACGTATATCAACATGGATTCTGAAATAGACACAATATGAAAGGTTATGTACAAATGCCTTTTTTGGATAGTTATTGTAGTTGTTGTCGTAAATCAATCTTCATATCTGCATGCTTACGATCTACACAAAGAATGATAACTACACACAAATAGTGACCATTATAGTTGCTTGCAATACGTGACAGTGAATGGTGGAGGTCCAATATCAAGAAAAAGAACAAATTCCTTCTCTGTCATTTTCACCAAAGTGAGGCCAATTTCTTTGTCTGAAAAGAGCATGACTTATAATAAGAACCGAGACCCAAATTATAGCATTGAAATCAGAATTTGTTTGCGACAAAAAGAAACTATGCATGAAAACGTGTAAGCTACATTCCTCGGCGCCCATGATGCACCCAAGTAGTACACAATGCATCGGATCATCCTATGTTGTCTTCCCAGGCAAGTTTACCCTTAGCTGCAGTCAACACGTTCCCAGCATCAGATGAGTCAAAAACTGCTCTACGTTAATAACACAATATACATGTTAAAGATTTGTATAATGATAATTGGGTCATAATGAGAAATTTTCCTTTCATCATTGACACACCAGTAGCTAGCTGCTTGGTTCGGTGCACATAATGGACATCAACTTATTTGTACCAATTAAAAGACCAACATCAGAATGGCCTAGATTGGTTGAAGTGAAATAAACTTCTCATGCTGTAGTATGTGTGAAGAGTCAGAGCAGCACTTACTATATAAATATAATATTCCCAGATGGATAACAGCAACAATCCAGTAGAAACAATGAAGAAGAATCCACAAACCGTAGATGTATCCACCAGATAAATCTACAGAAAGAAAGGAATAGGAAGAAAATAGAGTGTTGGATCAGGTGCTCGTGGTTGTCACCATGTCATGGGCTCATGGCAAATGCTTGAGTCAGAGCAGATCGACCTTGGCGTGGGATTTCCTAACGGCGCTGCTATACACACGACAACCCAGCAGCCGACTCATGGACGATCCTATGTGGCAGCTCCAACCGCGTCCGTGAACGCAGGAGGCGATTGGTTTTGTTTTTTTAGCTGATGCGTAGAGAAGGCATCGTTCGCAGATCGTTCATGTGTATCGTGTGTGAAGCAATTCCGATTTCCTAACGGCATGCAGGAGCAGATCGGCCTGGACCACCGTGGAGATGAGGCGACGACGGAGCAGACCCTCGTCCTCACCGTCAGCTTGCTATCTGCGTGGGGTTCTCTGACGGCGTGTAGGAGTAGATCAGCCTCAACCTTGGTGGAGATGAGGCAACAGTGAGCAGCCCTTGGTCCTCGCCATCTACTCGTCTACCTATGGATCGGGAAAGGAGGCCTCACCATGGTTGGGGTAGGAGCAGGAGGGTACCAGAGTTCTCCACCTCGCGCAATCCTCCTCCTCGACCTCGCGCAGGGTTGGATCGGGAGGAGAGGAGATGGGGAGGTGGGACGAAGGCCTCTTGGCGTGACTCGCGCAGGGGCTGGACAATGGGGAGGGGATGGATCAGGGTATGCGCGCAGGGGCTGGACAATGGGGAGGGGATGGATCAGGGTATGAAGAGGGAGGGCTGGGGCATCCTGCATCCATCGGCTGCGCTCGTGATGCAACAGCAGCGGGTAGGTGCGAGGCAGACGGCGGCCGTGCTTGGTGCTTCGTGTAGGCACCAATGCACATCTATTTATGATTGATGGATGGAAGACGAAAAGGAACAATTACGTTATGGGAAAGAAAAGAAAAGGTCCGCCTTTATTCAGTGGAGAAGATGAATAGGATGAGATAGAATTAGTGGATGGGCAGTTAATTGGCGTACAACCATGCGTTGTGTAGAAGGCAGCGACTCCTCCACCATGCCGGGGGCAAGAGCAAAGGGATGAGGTGGTGCATGAACCTGGAACGAAAATCATTAGATGGGCTGACGTGGTTGCATGGCTGAGGTGGATAGCTTGCATGTGGAGATAAATAAGGTAGTGGGGATGAATCTTTTAGGTATATAGGATGAGGTATATAGGTGATAATATGCGGGGACCTACAAAATATTTATTGGGATCTGCCGTGTATTACGGGATCTATTGGGTATGTTTTCTTCAACTAAAACTACAAATTTAAAGGTTTGACCATTTTTATTGGATCTGCTAGAGAGCATCTCTAATCGTTTCCTTATAATTTAGAGGAGTATATGGCATCTTATACTTTAGAGGAGTATATGGCATCTTATACTTTAGAGGAGTATATTTGCTCCTCTAAAAAATGTGGTTTCTAACAGAACCACTAAACTTAACTCTTTGAAAAAATTGAACACAAATTCAGTGCAAATTGGATTCAAAATACTTCACGGAACTTGATTTGAACTCGACTCAACCTTGCATAAACTCTTTTACACAACATTTTTTGAAGCGTATATGTAGATTGCCTAGCTCTTTTCATCAGTTCAGACTTTTGGTTGCGTTGGCTAGTGCATGAAGCTTAATGTTATTTGTGAGATGCGTTGGAATTTTCCCTGGAGAGGAAGGGTGAATCAATATAGTAGCTGATAAGTATTTCCCCCTGCGAGAACCAAGGTTATCGAACCAATAAGAGAATCACACAAACCCTAGTGAACAGTGTTAAGTTTCATGCACTAGCCGACGCAACCAAAAGTACGAACTGATGTAAAGGGCTAGTGCAATCCACATATATTGTAACATCATCTCTCACGTGTGATAACATGGACACAAAGGGGGCTACCCACAATTTTTAATAAATTGCAAAAGTCAGTATTTGAACTTAAGACCTTAGCTCAATACCATGTTAAGCTTCATGCACTAGCCAACGCGACCAAAATTCCGAACTGATGGAAAGGGCCAGTGCAATCCACATATAGTGTAACAAACAACACCTACACACATAAAAACAAATACTTGCACCCAACGCGGACAAGAGGGTTGTCAATCCCCTTCAACTCGTTACTTGCAAGGATCAAATCTTGTATAGGTAGATAGATAAATTGCAAAACAAAATAAAAAGAGTAAAATTGCAGCAAGGTATTTTTGCTTTTAGTAATATGATTAAAGTAGACCCGGGTCATAGTATTCACTAGAGGCTTCTCTCTCGAAACAATAGCATACGGTGGGCAGACAAATTATTGTTAGGCAATTGATAAGAAAATACATAGTTATGATGTTATTCATGGCAATAATCATGTATATAAGCATCACGTCCATGACAAGTAGACCGAAACTACTTTGCATCTACTGCTATTACTCCACTTCGAGAGTGCTTCTATACTTGCCTCTCTAGGTATTAAGTTCATAACAAACAGAGTAACGCATGAAGTATGATGACATGATGTAAACAAAGTAAACTCGAGCAGTATGAATAAACCCCATTGTTTTATTCTTAATGCCAACAATACAAATATGTGCCTCGCTACCCTTTCTATCACGAGGTGAGGACACCGCAAGATTGAACCTATTACAAAGCACCTCCCCCCACTAAAGATAAATCAATCTAGTTGGCCAAACCAAACAGATAGATCAGAGAGAATAAAAAGTTATAATAATCATGCATGATAAAGTTTAGAAAAGAATCAATTACTTTCAGTGAGTAATCTGATCATAAACCCATAATTCATCGGATTCCAACAAACACACGGCAAAAGAAGATTACATCGGATACAACTCCAAGAAGATCGAGGATAACATTGTATTAAAGATCAAAGAGAGAGAAGAAGCCATCTAGCCACTAGCTATGGACCCGTAGGTCTATCGTGAACTACTCACGCATCACCGGAAGGCAGCAAGGATGATGTAGAAGCCCTCCATGATCGATTCCCCCTCTA